TTCTCCATGTTGCTAGCAAATGCACAAAGGTTGTTGTGTAAAAATACAAAATAAATCATAAAAATATTTGGGTGTGCATCTTCATGGCTACCGACATTTGTTTACAATTTCAAATGGTCGCCATAACCCAAGTTAGATTTTGTCTAACATCAATGTCTTAATATTTCTCTAACGCAATTGTTTGTGAAAGACGACACCTAAAATATCAAGGATATGCTACCAAATCTGGTTGACCTTCACACCATTACTGTTTCCTCTGATCTTGACTGTACCGCACACGCAGGGGAATGATCATAAAATCGCCTACAAAACGGTATTTCTAAAATATTTCCGATTTAGGTAGTATTCCGTAAACAATAAGCCAGAGAGACAGACACACAAGAACAACAACATACCCCTATGATGTGTTTTTTGTTTAACTGAAGAAAATACATAGGCTTGCACACACAAATACACATCCATTCCTCGTCGTCACAACCACTCACTCTAAAAGAAGAAAAAAATGTGTGTATAAGTCAAGATTCTTAAAATGTTGGATTTGTTGTTCCTACCTAGTATAAGCCTTAGCACACATCACCTTTTTTTCTGAGACATTTTCAGTAATGATGTTGGTACCTGGGCTTGTTACAAGATTAACAGCATCTGCCAAATAGCCAGTCATCATGAAAAAGGTTTTTTGTTAATCTTTCGAGATGACCATTCCTCCCATGGAGTTTATTTTTCTGAAAAGAAATTAAATGAAAATCATTAAAAGAAAATACAACAGAAAATTTATTTCAAAATATAGGCAAAAATCGCACCACAGTGGACCCATGTTGGAAAATAATTAGAAAAAAAAAAAAGAATAAATATTTTTTAAAAAATCTAAAAATTACTTAAGCGAATTTATCGAAAAGAAAACGAATAACCTTTTTAAAAGAAACAAAATTAGGTGAGGATATTTTATGGGAAACATAAAGAATTTATATTGGAATTAAGTCAAGGTTTTTTTCGAAGTAAAGATGTTCTCTTAATTATTTTTTGTTTTTGTTTTTCATAAATGTTTATGTGTTTTGTATGTATGTCATTGTTGTTGTTATTTTATTAGATATATACAACACAATTAATATGTTTGTGTGATGTTTTACCAATACATAAAAAAACATATTTATTTAGTTAAATTAAATATATATTTAGGCATAAGAGAAACCAATGAAAAATATTTCAAATATTTTAACACTTGAATTGCTATTGAGATTTTATATTGAAATGCAAAAAAAAAGAGAAATATTGAAACGAAATTAATTTACATATTGACAAATTTTGTCAAATCTCATTATAAATGTATAAACGAAAGTATAAACTTGTTGTTTAGTGTTAAGAAATAATTACCATGATAAATATACTATATATTTTCAAAATAAAATCAATTATTTGTAATGATTAAAAAACGGAAAAGAAAATATTGTTTTATTTTGAGAAGAAAAGGGATAAGGTATTAAAAAAACGAAGCGAAATGGAAATCTCCAAAATGTAAACGTAAGTTCGTTCCGACTTGTTAATAACTCTGATTTTTTTTAATTAATAATAAAATAACAAGTAAAAAACATTAAGTTCGGCCGGGTCGAACTTTTAATACCCTCCACCTTTGGGTAAAGGAAACATTAGAACCCATTGTGACCCACAAATACCAATTTTTAGACAAATCCGTGAAAAATGTGGCAAAAATTATCAAAATACCGAATATCGGGGGTACCGTTATATGGGAACTATACCAAAACGTGGGCCTATACATACAATGTTTCGCCACCGGAGCTAGAACCAATTATGACCAACAAATACCAAGTTTTAGACAAATCCCTGGGAAAATGTGGAAAAAATTATCAAAATACCGAAAATCGGGAGGTACCATTAAATGGGGGCTATACCGAAGCGTGGACCTATACATGCAATGTTTCGCCGCCGGAACTAGAACAAATTATGACCAACAAATATCAATTTTTAGACAAATCCGTCAAAATATGTGGCAAAAATCATCAAAATACCAAATATCGGAAGGTACCGTTATATGAAGACGGTACCAAAAGATGGACCGATATATCTTATTTTCAATACCAACCACCCTAGATACAATACAAATTGTTTTGCTAAATTTTGGCGCTCTACGTCAAATAATGTGAGCTGTATCGTGTTTTCAACACACAGACGGACAAATTTGACCATTTCGGAAAGATGTGGATCGATGTAGACATTTTTTTAAATTAATATTGATAGTATTGCTTGAAAGTATTGCTTTAACTTTTAGGAAGGTATTTTAATGGGAGTGGACTAATGAACTCTATCATTAAAGAGGATTGAAGTTTCATAAAAATACTGTGACGTCTAATATTTCTTACTTAGGGGATTTCCTTAGCTTTGTTTAATGTTTAAGATACTTCAAAATATTCGTCCTTCGTAGAGAAGGTTCCAGAAGTAGTGTATCGATATAGTTCATCGACGTCCATGAAATGTAGTTCGAAGAAATGAATGTTCCATTTTGGAGTTATTAATTCGATCGTTCGTGAACAAGGTTCCACAAGGAGGGTATCAATATAGTTAATCGGCACCCATAAAAATAGTTAGTTTCATTTTGGGAGTGAAGTCTATCATTCAAGAGGACTGAAGTTAAAAGGAAATACGTCTAATATTTACTTAAAATACTTGAAAATGTTCGTATTTCGTAGAGAAAATTCCAGAAATGGTGTATCTATACAGATTATCGACACTCATGAAATATAGTGTTTCATTTTGGAATCATAAGTTCGATTGTTCGTAGAGAAGGTTCCATAAAGAGTGTATCAATATAATTCATCGGCACCCATAGAAAATAGTTTCATTTTTGAGCCATTATTGTGGATAGAATGCATTTTTAGCTTTGATATCAATTTCTGGCCACTGGGGACAGTGAATAGGATAGTTTAATCAACAGTGCATCCACACGCAAAATAACAAATACATTCCTCGGAAAGGCCAAATATTACAAACATACGTGAAATGTGAAATGCCTCCTATTCTATTTCTGTTGGAAAGCGCTTACAATACAACGTTATTCTCTTCCAAAAGAACGCCTAATATCTTCCCCTCCAATATGAAGACATTTCATAAAATATTTTTATTTAATTACTTGAAAATTACCTGCATTTTCTTCATTAATTTGATTGTGAATTCATTAAATATCCTAGTTTAGCCAGTCATCCCCTAAATATATTATTCCTTGAGAGATCAGCTGACCTTGCATCTATACGCATAACAAATACGTTTCCCGGAAGGCCAACGATTGTAAACATAATGAAATGCAACCAAATCTTCCTTCTTCTGTTGGAAACCCATCTAATGCAACGTTTTCTCTTGTAAAGAACGCCTATCTTCCTCACCAATATAAAGATATTTCATAAAATATTTTTACTTCAATTACTTGAGAATTACCTGCATTTTCTTCATTCATTTGATTGTGAATTCATTAAATGTCCATGTCATCCCCTAAATTCATAATTCCATGGCCAATCATTGCTGTTACCCTTGGAGTTTGCAAAAAATTGTGGTTTCTTCGTCAAAAGCAAATAATTTATACATTTTTGGCGGTAATTGTCTGTCCCATTTCCTTGTTTCGTTTAATTCGGAGTTGCCAACCATGTGAAATGCCTTTTGATAGTGTTGCTTACATTTGTGCGTGTGACAATTGTCAGACATATAAGGAGGAAGGAAGGAGGTTAATCTAAAAAAAATAAACTATAGTTTTTCACAATATTAAACTTTAAGACCACGTTTACGTTGCAGTGATAGTTGATAATTGATCTATCATGGTACCGTAACAAGTAATAGCTTAAATAGGATCCAAACAAAATAATCTTTCTTGTTATTTAGTGAGTACCGTGCATAAAGTGATTTTTAGACATCAACGTGTTAGGACATTAAAACTAAGTTCATATTTGATATTTATGTCCTAAATTCCGATTTATTGTACGCACACGTTCATAGGATTTACGCCAAGTTGTTCATGAGCTAAAACTTTTGAGGGTATCAGTGTGTGGGTATTAAAATTAAATGGAACATTGAAATTCTCATTCTTATTTTGACTGTAGTTTTTGCAATTGTCTGGACGTCTATATTACTCAGATTAACTTTCTTGACGATGTCCTGTCATTTGTAAACGCCTCAATGAAAATTTGCCTTGCCTTGACAGATTTCAAACCCTAATTTTTCATGTAAAAAGTTAACAATCACTAACAATCAAAAATAGCAAAGGTTGCCAAAAAGTCATTGTCTTCATTTTTTCAATGAAAAAATAAAAAAATTACCTAAAATTGAATTATTTCATGCTAAATAGTTGTAAAGTAAATGAATACTTATTTTTCCAATTTTTGCTACACCGTTTTTGAGCATTTTTTTTGGTTCCTTTTTGGTGAGAGGGAAATAGGAAATCCTTAATAATGTTAAAATACATCTACATTATTTTCGTCGTTATTTAACAAGCAAATTTAATTAATTTACGTATTTTAAAAATTTCCGTAAACGAATGTTATATAGGAAATATCGTAGTACTATTATTTCAAGATAGTCTCAATTCAAATAAAGATATACAACATTACATTTTTCAATTCAATATTTTATAGAACAATAATTTAGTCCATGTTGTTTGGTTTTCCTTGTGTAAACGTGAGCTTATAGCATTTATTAAGTTCTGTCTACAATTGCATAAACACAATAGATGTGTTATCAAATGTATGTTATGTTTCCGTTTTGCCAAAATATTATAAATAATATTAACAAAAGTTTTCTAAAATTACTTAAATAACCACTGATGTCAAAAAAGTACGCCTTCATCAAAGTATAAATTCCACTCCTATTGACATGTTGTTGGCAACACTAACACAACGAAACCTACTTCACATACAACACTGTACCATGAAATGAACGCCGTTGAAAGCACTTCGTGTTGGCGTCTCATTCACAAAAACCCAAAAAATCCAGCCGACACTTTGACACTTCACGAGTAATTGTTTGTCGTTCGTCAAGTGAAGTTGTGTTTTCGGGCTGCGCTTCACTCTTATCTCTCAGTAAAATATAAGTGAAAAAAATAAAGGAAAAGCAGCCATTTTGGGTTTTCTGAAAAAGTGAATTTTTCAAGCAAGTTTTTTGCATTAAACAATAACTTCAAGTGAATACTTTAAAAAGCAAAACGGTTTTCCGGTCATTTTAATCAAGGTATGTTTAATATTCTTTTGCTAGAAATATGTGAAAAATGTGGTTTCTTTGTGCGAAAAAAGAATTTTGCAAGTAAAAAATGAGTCATTTCTGTAATGTATTTGTGTGTGTGTATGTCTGTGCATGGTGAAATTACTTTTTTCTGTTTAGTATTACATTAAATTAATATTGTATTTAGAAATTCTAAGTTAACTAATTTTTTCGTTATATAATAAAGTTAAAATTTTCATAACTGGTATTCCTTTTTTGCAAATCTTTGAGGTTTTCTTTGTGTATCTATCCATTGATCACATTTCCTTCCCCCTCAATTCCTTGCTTGCACATTTTTTCTGCCATTGCCGTCTGGCATGACATGTGTAGGCTTGAGAAAAATGGGGTCGTTATTGGCGGTGCGCATTGTATTCTTTTATGTGTGTGTATCTTTGTCGGGGGGTACAGTACACACATAGATTTCAGTATGTAAAAAACACTGGGGCTTAAGCGACAGCAAGCTAGCAGTAAACCTTGTAAGATTTGATTAACAGTTATCCATATGACAACAACTTTTAATGTCTGTGACTTGTAGTTTTTCTGTTGGAGAGCCAAGCACCGGCCGGCATATTTATGTATCTGTTGTGTAAAATGACTGTATGCACGTCAGCGTGTTTTTTGGCTTCCATTCATTATGCTAAATATGTGTTTGGTGTGGTATACACGCTCGCGCCATTTTGTTTTTCCATAAACTTCTATTCATTTCTCTACCTTTTATTTACGGCTCTTTTGCTCCTCATATTCTTGCTTGTCAAGTTTTTTCGTTCGTGTTTTTGTGTGTTAATGCCCCACCGCGCCAAATGCAAGAGAGAATGCCGGTGTTAATGATCTTTTGTTTGCCGCTAACCGGTTCTCTTTGATTGTTTTATTGCTGGCTCTCCCCAAAACAAAAGGGCAATTTAGTTACTTTCATGATTTCACCTGACTTCGTGGAATTGTGTTAAGTATTACATATAATTTAGAAGTAGGAAGAAAAAAATGAATCAACCACCATTTCTTGTTTCCTTTTGATGCAACCCCTATAAAATGTGTAATTGAAAAAACTAACCACCAAACCAACCCTCATTTTTTTTTATACGTCACTCGTTTTAACACAGCATGAGAAAGTTGCCGTCAACGTCAGTTGTTTAACATCTTTGCTCTGGTATACATCAGTTGGCGGGCGCTCTCTCTTGTCTGTCAATAGCGCGCATTACAGTGTTGTATTTTAAAGTAGTTAATATTTAGTGTAGAGACAAATAGAAAAAGTAAGAAAAAAATTTCTGCATTTCGCTTATTTTTAAGTTTTTATTAACTATTTGGCCAATATAATTTGTTAAAAAAATTTATGCAAAATTTTAATTTGTTTGTTTTTTGTGTGCGTGTGCTTTGTTGTGCGCTTTGTTTTTTTTTTTTTGTTTATTTTCAGCTTTGTGTTTGTAGTAAATTTATTGAAATCCATATCTACATCAACCAAAAACACCCCCTCATCCTCCCACAAACAATCCAAATTGTCCATAAAACTAAATTAAATTAAGTAAATCCTTGCATTTTTAAATTAATTTGAACAACTATTATGTGTCCCAGGTAGGTTGGCGCTTTGCTATGTTGCTTTTGTTTACATAGATTTGTGATTTGTCCTTATTTTTATTTTAAGAACTGTATATTTAAATGTTGCAATTTTTTGTACTTTTAGCGCTAAAACAGCCACCAATAACCAAAACAAAAACACAATGGCATTCCGCAATCAAAATCGTAACAATCGCAACTTTGGCGGTGGTAACAACTACGGCCCCATGGGTGGCAATCGCGGTATGGGCGGTGGCAACAACATGATGTCTCCTTGGGAGAACCAAAATTCTGGCGGCGGCTTTGGTGGCGGTAATATGCGCCAAGGCGGTGGTGGCGGCGGCGGTGGCCAAATGAATGCCCAAGCCATCAATTTGGCCAATAATTTGCTGAACAATTTGTTCCGCAATCAAAATCCACCTTCCTTGTTGGATATGCCCCGTGGCGGAAACATGAATCGCGGTGCTCAACGTTCTGGACCGGTATGTATATGATTTTTATTACCACTACTATAAGTAATATGTATTTTTTTTATTATATTTAAGTTGAGATAATTGAATATTATAGGGAAACAGAGTAGTTATTTCCTTTGCAGCTGCAGCAGCAATTTTGTTGTGGCCTAACAACAAGGGCACCCTTTTTTGGTGTTGGTGCTTCTCTATCTCCACTTATGAGAATTCCCACCCCTTTTCCATATTATAGTTATACCCTATTTCCGTCACGTATTTAACGTTTTTTGTGTACACTCTGATGTTGTATTAAACAAAACTTTGGATTAGGTATGATGCCTACGTGACTTCATTTTTTTTTAAATGTCATTGACCTCAAAGAAGAGACGCAGATCGACCGACCAGCCGGCCGGCAATTCATGTTTTTTTATTATCGCACAGCAAAAGGCAATGATCCCCAAATTAAATGCCGTGATTTCATTTAACAAAGTTCATTAAAAATTTGCTTTGTTTTCTCTCATTTAAAGTCTTCCAATACGGATTTTATGGTCTTTGTATGTTATCTTTCATTCAACTTTGAATGAGGTTATAGGTGCATTCTATTTTCTTAAGTGTTTTTTTTAAATAAACATGCAATAATTCATACGATTTTTCTTAAGAAAACGTGATTGAAAAAACTATTTTATTATTTCAAATTACTATGCTCTCTCCATTGCTCTTCTTTTTTGTTATATTGTTTTATTCATATATGTCTTCTTCAAGGGATTTTCTTGACATGACTTGTGCTCCTTTCTGTATACTCCTTCAATAATTCTTGTCATGCTCTTCATGGTGACTTCTTTTCCGCCAATGACATGTTTGACTCCCAAAACCATTAAAGCAAACAAGCAAAAATTCCCCCAGTGATTAGTCATTGGTAAAAAAAAACACAATCAACCAACATAATTTCCATCAAATTTGTTTTTAACCGCAAAATATTATATGGTTTGCTCATACTTGTTATGCTTTCCTTTCCCCACTCTCAAAGTAACGCCACATAAATGAAATACTTCTAAGTTGGCAACTCCAAACCGTACGATGACATTTGACATTACTCCATCTAATGGTGAGAGGGCATCACCTGAGTTTTCTTTGTCAGCATAAATAAATCGTATGTATTTTAGCAAGAAACTTGTAAAAATAATTAATTTGTACAAATAATTATTAAAAAAATAGTACATTATGTTATTTCATGTATACTCAGCCACTAAGAAGGAGAAAAATGTTCTTAATATTGTTTCAAAGTGCCAAAGAGACTTGTGCGCTTGGCCCTTGTAATTTTGGCGCAAATTTATGGCTTGTATGTCAAAGTTGTTGCCCATTTAAGGCGTCAATAGTAAAATCGTTTCTATTTAACAAAAAAAGTGTTAAAATAATGAACTCCTGCAATGAATTTATCAAAAAATCAAGAGTGTGCCATTTACAAGGATAAAAATGCCCTTATTGGTATTTTATAATTGTGCCCGTCATGTACTGTGTTGGCCATTGTAATTTGGCAAATCTAAGCAACTATTGAAAGTAGTTGTTCCTATTCAAGGAATTAAATACCATATACAAAAATGTAAAAGCTTAAAAAGACCACTGAGGACTAGAAGAAAAACCTTGGTCCCATTGTATTCCACAGAAAGGCACAACTGCCACACAATTGTAAATGTTGATCCCTTTTGGCTTACCAAACATGTGAAAGGACTTCTTCCTTATTAAGGTATATTCGTATTGAAATTAGGTAAATAATCTCCTCAAGGCACTGTTGATTATTTTTTATAAATCACATATCTTTTTATTTTCTTGAGTAGAGAATTCAAGAGCATTCATTTCTATAAAAAGAAAATTTTTAATCTAAAGAAAAGTAAAAGGGTAGAGATACATAGGGCATCACCTGCAACTATTTCTGGAATAAATATCAACCTTTTGCATAAGTAAATAGGTAGAGGGCATTGGAAAGCAACATTAGAGGGAAACTGGTTTCTTCTATGACACAGCAGGTGTCAAAAACCCACTATATTATATCACTTTTTGAAAAAAATACGTATATCAACTGATCAGCTCTATGGACCTTTCAGATTGCATCTACGTTTTAATTAAACCTTCTCGAGATTAAATTTTATTAAAAAATATTTTTGGAGAAACCACAGTAATATTGCTGCTGCTGTTTTGCGTCTTATATTTATAAATATAGTATTTTTTATCGAATTTTATTTGTTTGTATTTTACATATTTTTATTTTCCTTGTTGCTAATCACTGACTAGTGTGAGTTTATTTTTTTAGTTTTCAAAGCTTTATTTAAAAACTATATTTATGTTATTTTTAAAGTATAATACCAACGATAAAAAAACTAATTGAAACGATAACAAAAAAACCAAACAACAATAATATCCTGATTTTATAAAATTTGTAAACTTAACTTACCTTGCAACTTATATCCACTGTTGTTGTTAACTACGATTTAGGTCAAACAACCTCTATATATTTTTTGTGTTACCAAAACAAATATCAACAGTCCCACCAACCAACGAAATAAACCTTTTTTACTTTTATAATATGTGTAATATTTACATAATAATGTTAATGATAACTTCTGTATTTCTCTCTCTTTAGTCTTTATTATAAAGTACTCTCTACTACATTATATTTGTTGATTTTAGTAATTAAATTGCTACCCAAATATTTTTTTTCATAAAAAATAAGAAATCTACAAATTTTCAAGCAAAACTACTACTACTTCTACTATAATATTGTTATAAAAAATGATAATAATTGTTTTTGGAGTATTTCCAACCATTCTAATTAAAAATTTTATTTTATTTTCTCTCTCCCTTTCCATATAAAAATTACCAATACAAAAATGATATTGATCTGATCCGTGTGTGTAAAAAAACGGGTTTCGTTCCGTGCCCCTTCTTCTTCAAAATACACACACACATACACATTGATAAAACTTTGAAAACTTTGGTCTTTGGATTTGAAAACAAACAAACAATAATGCCTGATCGATTGCTCCTTCTGCCACACATTCATCAACTACCAACCACCACTCCTTGGTCTTCTTCAACATCGGTGGTAATGCCAATATAAAAAACCACAAATACCATGTGTGATAATAATGAATGATGATGCCAATAATGATGCATTCCATATCCGCCATCACTGATTACGATTCGATTGCTGGATTGATTTGCTTGCATTTCAATGCATTGTTTGAATGATATCGATCTGATCGTCGTTGTTGTTGCCAATGTCGCAATGCAATTGTAAAACAATTCATGACTCCTGATGTTGCGGTGTGTTTTAAATTTGAAAAAAAAAAAAAAAAACAATTTTAATTGTTGTTGTCGCCGTTGTCAACCCTTTTTGAATGCGCAATTTTTTTAAAAAATATTTTCTCTTTATTTTTTTTTCACACATAAAAATGGAAATTTGTTTTTTAAAAAAAATGTTGGAAATATTATTTGTTGTTGTGCGCACATCACCAACTCCTTTTTTCTCTTACATTTCTATCCTGCCTCTGAAACACAATGTACAACAAAAAAAAATTCAAACACACCCAACTCTCGAACTGAATTTAAATAATGAATTGTATTCTAAAAAAACTGAATACTGAAAAAATACGACAATTGAAAATGCAACACAACGCTCGCCATTCGAAAAAAAAAAAACAATAACTGAAACACCACCAAAATCGATACAAATTCTGGACGCCTTGTGATGATTCCGACACCACGATTCCTTTTTGTATGTGTGTGTGTGTGCGTGGTATGTGTAAATAAATATCCGACTACTCTCTCTGGTGCCAACAACTCATTCTGCAACATGTCGTTTGTCTGCCACTAATCTGTGCAACAATAACAAAAAACTAAACAAAAAAAAACGAATATTTGAACACAATTGTGTTTGGGTTTTTCTACAACAACAACAACAAACAAAAAATAATATTTTTTTAAACTTTTGAAAATTTTTTATTTAATTAATTTATTTTTGTTTTAAAATGATAATAATGAACACTTGAAACATTTGAAACCAAACCACCAAATGCATTGTTGCCACACCACAACCAACAACAAATGCCTTGAAATTTTCAAACTGATTGCCATGCCACATCACGAAATGAAATATATAAAAATGTGAACTATATATATATGACATCTTTCCATCCATAACACCCCAAACCACCACGCTCTTCTGTGCAACAACAAAATCCAAACTGGCCTATCTTTTTTTGAAAACCTTTAATAAAAATGTGTATAAAATTGAATTGAATGACCACAAAATAACTGTCGTCAAAATAATGTGCTCTGAATGATGAAATGATGATGATCTTTCAAAATTATCATTTATTTCCTATTTACAAAAATGAAAACGAAAACTGTGTTGAAAATAAAAACCCAAAAAACCAAACGAAACAAAACAAAAAACATTTTCTTCTTCAATTTTTAATAAAACCATCAGATGGCCAATCGTGGTGGTGTTGGCGGCAATCGTTTAAACAATCGTCGTGGTCAAGGAAGTTTCCAAAACCGTGCTGGTGCTGGTGCTAAATCAGCTGCAAAGCCCGGCGCTGGCGGTATTCGTAAGCAGAATGCTTTCGATCGTGCAAAGAAACTTTTGGCTAAAAATGCCAACAATAAAAAGAAGGATTCCGCTTCTGGCGATAAGAAAACTGAGAGGTAAGCCCATAACAAAAGACTTTTTTCAAACCACAAAACCAACAAATTTTAAATGTAATCTTCAATCAATCAACCAAAAACACTTAATAATTTTTCAAATATTTTTCTTGTGGAAAATATTTTGTTGTGTTTATAGAAAAGACAAAACAAAAAGAATATTTAACATTTTTATATGTACCATATAAAAGAATATATATACAACATGATTAGTTTCGTTATTTATTTCTTTATAAACTTTTCATATTACAAAAATAATAATTAGGGATTTTTTTGTGGTTAACCTATATGGCGGGACCTGATGAGTAACAGCACAAGGAAGTTTATACAGCAGCCAATTGCACCTGGAACCCCAATCCACAGTTCTTCAAGAGTTCTTCTGTCTCTTGTGTTTGGATGGTGACGACGGTGTTTTAGTTGTTGTTGTTTGTGTTTGTTCTTCTCAAATATGGTGTTGTTTAGGGGGCGGGCAGGGGTCGTACACACTTCAAGTGTGTTGAAATATTATTTCTTCCATCGTTTTTTGCAATTCTCCCCCTTTATTCTTGTATTTTTATTTGTATTACTTTTTGTATTAATATTCTCAAACATTTAATTTTTAAGTTTCATATTTTATTTGGATATACATATTCATATTCATCATGTATACATATTTATATTTTGAGATCTCTAACGAATTTTTTTGTTTGTGATCTCAATTTATATTTTATTTTTATTATGGGGTCCTATATTAATTTTTTCTTTTTTGCTTTATAATATAGCAATTAACAATTTTCAGATATAATGACAAACAACAAGTTTGAAATATTCTTTGAAATATTTTTTTTGTTTTTGCAAATCGGAATTCCATTGTAACTTTTTCTGTTTCAAGAAATTTGTGTCCAAAGGAAGGTTTCATCTTAATAAAATTCTTGAGCCCATTATTATATTTTGTCCCCCCAAATTCGGTGACATTTTTAATGGAATTTTCCAAGTTCAATTCCCGAAGACAGAAAATAAAAAAATTTGATTTCAATTTCCATTTGGCCATAACTTGAAATATGCATTTCGTATTTGTGCCCACGGGAAATAACAAACGTATTTCCACCTACATTTTTATTTCTTGTTCACAAATTCTGTGGTCTTTTTAATGGAATTTTCCATGTTTGGTTCCCGTGAACAGCGAGGTATAAAACTTATTTTCAATTTCCATTTGGCCATAATTTAAAAAATTACGCATTTCATATTCAAACAGCCTATATTTAAACAAAAGCCTACCCATTGACTTTGAAACTTTGAGGAAGTCTCCTTTTTTAATATCAATATACCAAATATCCTTACATTTTGTACTCTTTAAAATGGGAGGTCTACAATTCTGTCTGAAATGTTGACAAAATTTAATAGAATTTTTAAATGGCTGTCAAAGAGTTACTTCTGATGCTGCCTCCTTTTCCACAGAAAATTAAAAGTGGTTTGTTTCCGTTCAACATACGGGAATACTTGATTTGATTTCATTTCATACCAATTTCAATTTTAAGAAAGAAAATGTAAAAGTTATGAAACTTCAGGTCCTCAATCGGTCCAAAATTTTTCTGATACCTCTGTCTCGATGGTCGATGGTGGACGATTTCCTTTAAAATTTTCAGCACCATGTCCTACAAACAAACGAAACGACGGGGTGTACTCGACTGTTAACATTTCCGTACCAACTTTTATTAATTTTTAGATAGACTGTCGGAAACTTCTTCTAGAGTCTCTTTCCTAAATTCCATACTCCTTGAAAAGGGAGACGAATTTTAAAATGGCTGTCCATTTTCTAAAATTTCCTTAACAATTTTAAGAAGAAACATCGAAAAACTTTTTCCACCTCCTCTTCGATAAAATGACCTTAAAATTATAATGTTCGATAATCGTGCTCGAAACACGTTCCAAGCCTTCCGAACCAAAAAATCAAGAATTAGTCAATGCACATTTACCTGTTTACAATGAAATGAAAGGAGACTTTGATTTGGTTACAAATTAAGTGCATGCAACAATTCCAAGGAGTCTTCCGATCCAATCCCAACTCGGGACCTATATAACACGATTTGCCCCCCTTTTATGCCTTGAGCCAAAACGTGCCTCGAAATAATGGTTTAAGACCTTAGGTCTCTTTGGACCAAATCCGTTTCAGGACATTTGGAGTCGATCTAGCGATGTCCCTCCGTCTGTCTGTCTGGCTGGTTCGCACGATAACTCTCGAAGGGGGAGTACCCATTTGGTCCAAACTTGGTACATCGTAATATTATTGTCAAACTTAGATCGAGTTCGGAGATGGACAATGTCGGTCCATTCCTTCTGGTACCTCCCCCACATCCAAGAAACTCCTAAAACGCGAAATTAACATCCAATTCCATTCAGACTTGGCAAATCTCAATATTTCTATCAACACGAAGTCTGTTACAAAGATGATGTAGAGATCGGACAATTCCCAAAGGGTCAAAATTTTAAAATACTAAAACGATCTTAAAATCCAAATTTCAAACTTCGCACATCACAATACTTTTGTAACACAAGAGGTGGTGTGAAGATGAGATATATCGGTCCACTCCTTCTGATACCCCCCCTACAAAGGGTCAACGTTTGGAATGTCCATGATGCTCCTAAAACGCGAATTTAACATACAATTCCATTCAGTCTTGGCAAATCTCAATATTTCCATCAACTCAAGATCTGTATAAAGATGGTAGATATCGCACCATTCCTTCTAGTGCCTCCCCCAAAAAGGGTATAAATAATAATAAACAAAACGATTATATTATCCAAAATAAGCATCCGATTTTCTTCATATTTAACACATCCCATTATTTTTACTCACGCAATATCTGTGAAGATGGGATATATCGGTTCACTCCTTCTTATACCTCTCCCACAAAGGGTCAAAGTTTTAAATATCCATGAAGCTCCTAAAACTCGAAATTAACATCCGATTCCGATGTTACCGATTCCACAATAGGTTCAAAATTTTGAAAAACAAAACTCATAAAAAAATTCCTTTAAAGAATATTTCAAACTTTTAGAAGTGATCATTTGACTCGAATTAAAATTTCATTGATGTCTTAAAGAAATATGAAATTTATTTTACTTTTAAAATTTAATGCTCATAACTTGTTTCTATGCTCTCCTCACCATCAAAACCAAGACAACCCCATTATATGTATATTTTTTCCCATCATATTTTATTGCATTTATTTATTTTTTATTAAATATATACCCCCATCAAATATTTGCTCGCGTGTTACCACCACCCCATATTTTACCACTCACCCACCCATGTGTTATCCTCCCATCATCTCTTTTTCTGTCACTCTCTCTCATCATCGAAATAAGAAAACGAAGAATTGCATAAATCAATCAAACCCCCCAATTCTTTTAAAATAAAACATCACTAATCTAATTTATTTTCTTCTCTTACCCCCCATTTCTTTCTCTGGCCAATCATTCTCAACATTCCGTTTGTTGGGGATAAATCAAACTTTACTTCACAAACCGAGCAGCAAAGAGTCTCCCTACGCCAATGTACCCAACGACATGTTCTACTGTCATCTGTGCAAGAAACACATGTGGGATGCCAACTCATTTGAAAATCACATCAAGGGACGCACTCACTTGATGATGCGCGAAGGTATTGAAGAAAGCTATCGCCTGAAGGCCAACATGATTCGTCAGGAGGCCAAGATTGCTGAACAATTGAAATCCATTGAATTGGATCGCTTGAAGCGTATGGGCAAGAGCAAGCAACGCCAATTGGATTACTGTACCATGTGCGACTTGAACTTCCATGGCCATATCTCGGCCCATCGCAAGTCAGAGGGTCATTTGCAGTTGAAGAAGTTCTTGCATCCCAAGTGTTCGGAGTGTAACAAGGAATTCGCCACTCGCATCGATTACGATTCTCACTTGCTGTCCGCTGATCACTTGATCAAGGCTGCCGAAAAGAACACCAAGGTTGGTGAACGTAAACGTCAAACCTTGCCCATCCTCACCGAGGAGGAGGAGTTGAAGGATGTCCGCCCACCCACCAAGAAGAAGAAGAAGGCCGCCGCCAAGAAGACTGAAACTGCCGAAGGCGGTGAAGCCAAGAAGGAGGGCGAAGAAGAGGCCGAAGGTGAAGAAGCCGAGGGCGAGGATGCCGAAAAGAAGGAAGGTGAAGAGGGTGCCGATGAGACCAAGGAGGGTGAGGAACTCAACGAGACCCAAGAAGGCGAAGAAGAAGTTACTTTGCCCGTTGATCCCGAGGATTGTATCTTGGATTTCAATGAGGGTGATGAAATTCCCACTGAAGTCGACAACCGTCTGCCCAAATACAACTGGACACGCCCAGTGGGTACCGCTCTCATCACCAAACTCGAATGCTACGAGTGTTCGTTGTGCGGTAAATTCTTCGACACCGAGAAGACCGTTGAGGTGCACTCCCGCACCGTCACCCATCACCGCAACTTCTTGAAGTTCATCAACGAGAAGGCCAGCGATACCAAGATTGCCCAGAAGCGTGCTGCTGCCGCCATTGAAGAAAGCGAACGCAAGAAGCGCAAGATCGAGGAGGCTGAGGCCGCTGCCAATGGTGAGACCACCGAAAAGACCGAAGAGGAAGGTGGTGAGGCCGCCGAAGGTGCCGAGGGAGAATTGTACGATCCCTCTGAGGCCACTGGCGACGATGAAGATGTTGAGATGAACGAAAATGGTGAAGGTGAAGAGGGAGGTGAGGGCGAGGAAAATGGCGAAGAAATGGAAGCCCAGGAGGAAGAAGCTCAGGAAGATGGTGGCGAACAGGAAGCCGAAGCTGAACCTGAGCCAGAACCCGCACCAGAGCCAGTCAAAGAAGCCGCCAAGACACCCGCCAAAACTCCCGCCAAGACATCTGCACCCTCGACACCAGCCGCCGCTTCTGAAGCCTCACCCGCCAAGAAAGCCACACCCGCAGCACGTGGTGCAGCCGCAGCTGGCGCCAAGGGTACGCCGCGTAATCGTGGACGTGGTCGCTACAACCGTTATTAAGGAGTCGTCGGTGTGGTGACCCCCCACCCCCAACACACACATATTATATATAAATTAACATAACCATAGAATAAAATAAAACAAAAACTTTCCCTTGGACCAGCAGAAAAATAATAGGTCCTTGTGAAAGTGTATTTGACGCGAATATTTATATTCAGCAAACTATGATTTTCATAAAATTTTGTCATTACCATTGAACGTTTTGCAAAATAATTTATCTACAATATTGTAATTCCTACCCCCCAAACCACTAACAAACATAAGACCCCCTGGACTGCGACGCTATAAAAATAGAACCTGAAAACTAACTCTTAACCTCACTTCCAAAATGAAAGAATGAAAGATGAATGTAAAAAAATGAACAAGAGTGTCGTTGTCAAACATCAGAACAGTAGCGCAGACGTATTATTCCTTAAGTTGTAGTAATTCTAAATCTGTAACCACGGAAGCCATTGTAGGGTTCCCCCCATTTTTAATGAGATGGAAATTTGCTCCCCCCAATTTTTTTACCTATACATATGCAAATTATACTACTAACACTCAAGAAGAAAGAAAGAAAAAACCCAAACAAAAGAAAATGAGAGAAAAACAAACCCCCTATTATTAGATAATGAATAGAAGATCCAAAATGATAATAATAATAAAACACAACAACAAACATTACAAGAAAATGTATTATTATTAATTATTTCACATTATCTGTAACAACTTTTGATGAATGATGACTACTTTGTGGGTGGGAATTTCAATGATGTCCCATTTTTTTTTAAATTAAAGATATACGGAGTTGGAAATATCAACAACAAAAGTGAATAGATATATATAGCTACAAATAGTGTAGGAGGGTAGTAGTAGCTCATCATCCTTTTTTTTTTTTTGGATTCATTTCCATTTAATGACCATGATGATGATGGGCAAGCTCTCCCAAGTCATCTCAACAACATATAACAAATGCGTATAAACAAATTATAATTTACTTTTAAGACTTTAGTTAAACATTTAAGTATTGTACTCTACTCTTTGGTGAGATGAAGGGACAAAATATCCCCTTCCAAATTTGCAATCGATCCAAAGAGATGAAATAAAATACACAAAAAAAAGAACAAGATCAGAAAAAATTCCCATGATATAGTTTACTATAGCATGTTGCATTGGAAAAACTGGAAACAAAGACAAATTAACAAAAAAAGAAAAATAAATTGAAAATTTAAATAAAAACAAAAAAAAAAAAAAAAATACCTACCAATGTAAGTGTATAAACAAAAAAACAAACATTTAAATTGAGTTCTTATTTCCTTTTTAGGGAAGTGGGAGTTTCAAATGGGCAACGAAGGAAAAGGAGAAAGGTATTTGACCATGGTATAATGGTGATAAAAACTGTTATTTTCCTTGGACGTGATCGTTTTATTATTTACATCCTGCCATTAAACGGGAAATTCATCCTAGTATAGGCTCTTTTTGTTTGGGGGCCCAACTTTTACCCATAGACGCTTGTGCTTCTGCCACCGAACGGGACATCCATCCTAGCATATGCTCTTTTTGTTTGGGGGCCCAACTTTTACCCATACATGCTTGTAGAGTTATAGTGAAATCATAACCTCTTCGTACGTTTTTCAATTATTTCTACCGCCTGACTAATGGCGATCGAATACATTCCTTGAAAAATATTCTTTAAAAAATCGACGATCTATAGGGTGAGATAAAAAACTCCAACAAAGTCAAATGCCATAATTTTTACATTTTTATATCCAGTCATATGGCTACAGAGGGTATACACCATTTGATACGACCAGAACGTGCCTCATCGAAATAACGGTTTTAGAGCCTAGGTCTTATCTTTGGACCACATACGTTTCAGGACATTTGGAGTCGATCTAGCGATGTCCGTCTGGCTGGTTGGTGCGCACCATAACTCTCGAAGGGAGCATCCTTGGTATATCGTAATATTATTATCAAACTTAGATCGAGTTCGGAGATGGGCAATATCTATCGACCCATCTCTTTTGGTACCTCCCCCACAGAATGTCAACATTTTCAAAGAAAATAATTTACTGCACAGAAAGAGAATGGATAATCCGATTTTGCTCTAACTTTGCGAATTCTAATATTTGCATCATTACTACGTCAGGTACGAAAATGGACAATATCACTCCACTCCATGAAGTAACTCCACCATAAAGGGTCAAAATTTTGAATAATTACAACTCTTATAAAGTGTGATGTAAGAGTCGGATTGTCTTCAAATTAACCACATCAAAATATTTTTATTAACCCAAGGTCTGGTGTGAAGATGGGATATATCGGTCCATTCCTTCTGGTACCTCCCCCACAAAGGGTAAAAAGTTTGAATATTCTTTGAACTCATAAAACCCGAAATTAACACCCGTTTACATTCAGACTTGGCTCATTTCTATATTTCCGTCAACACAAGATCTGTTATAAAAATGGTAGAGATTGGACCATTTCTTCTGTTACCTTCCCACATAAATCTTAGGGACTAAAAAACAAAACGCTCAAAGAAAACGAAATTAGCATACAACTTTCTTCAAATTTCAATATTCAGACATTTATTCTAACGCAAGATCTGTTGTGAAGATGATAGATATCTGCCAACCCCTTCTGGTACCTCATCCACAAAGGGTCGTCACAGTCATAGCTTGCGAAACAAGTCAGCGATTCTTTACAACTTGCTATGCCTAAATATTTTTCCCAACCAGAAACCTGAGATGAATGTGGCATTTATCGAAATGTATGATTTCGCATAAAATTGGATGTAAATGTTCGATTTTCTTGTAATTTTGCAATATTTTTTATCTGTGGTAGATGAAGTATGAAAACGGAATACTACGGTCGACTATATCTAGTACCTCACGCACATTTTTACATTTTCTAAAAACTACCGCGTATCTCATAAAAAGCGAAGGAAGTAATCTAGTCCAAACCTGGCATGTCGCAATATTTATATCGTATTCATTTAGGTCCGATAGAAATGGTCCATTCCTTCGGAAAGTACTCCATAGAGTGTCAAACATTTGATATAGCTAGCATTATATATAGATTCCAAAAAAAAGGGTGAGATAAAAAACTGCAACAAAGTCAAGCGCCATCATTTTTACATGTGTATTTTGCCAGTAGGCAACGTAAGTTCGTAAATCGTCGGTACTCGTTTTGGTATAGCCCCCATGTAATGGTACCTCCCTATTTTCGTTTTTACTAAACTAGAGTTGTTCCAATTGGAGTTATGTGCTAATGGAGATGATTTTTGACTTATTGGGATATGTATAAGTGATTTTTTTACGTTTTGCGGTTTTCGCCAGGAAAATTGAATTCCAAACGATCATTCATCGGCTTTTTAAAAGATTCGCTTTGAAGAAAATTCGTTAACAAATCATTTAATTTCGAAATATAAACCAGCCTCCAGTTACAAAATACGGACACAATTTTTAACACATATTTATTTGTTGTTTTTTAAAAATATACAAAAAAAAATTTTTTTTTTTTTAAATTTTACTTAACATTAATATTCGTTTTTTATCAAATCTAGCAAAATTACACATTTTCGTGTTCTTGACATTGTCATCATCAATAACAGGAAAAAAAGCCAGCCTTTATATAACTTAAAGTAATCGAGACAAATTGGGTGGTGAAAAAATTAAACATCTATCGTATATGAGTAATGGATACATAAAAAAATGAAGGACAATCTTCAATATATAATACGTATAAATGTATTTCTAATACATAGTTTGTTCAACAATATTCAGATTTAACACTAATTACATATTAAATTTAAAATCAGTAACATTTCTTCTGTTGTACTCGATAAGCCAATTAATTACAAATTATATTAATTTTTGGTTTCAATTTTCAATATTTAATAATAACCAATTTGAGGGTATCAAATTTTGTAATGCCCTCCCCAAATACATCAGAGAGAGAGGATATATTAATCTCATTTATTCCTAGTATATGAAAAAAATATGATGATACTGCTTATCATATTTTTTTCATATACTTTTAAGATCGTTAACATTTTAAATTACATTATTTAACATGTATGTATGTATGTTGTAGTATACTTAACTATATTTATGTATGTCTGTAATGTTGTTAACACATCCTTCCTATTATTTATATCAAATTCGTCGCCTTTACTCTTACACTCCTATAATCATTTAATATATATGTATGTATGTATATATCATGATGTTGTGAAAAATGTAAATTGTAGTTTTGAAAATGTAAATATGTATGCCTGCCTACATTATTATTTATGTATGTATGTATATGTCTTTATTATCTGTAATGTAGATGTTATTTACAATGATATGATTGCATTACATTATGTGTTTTATCCATTTAAATATTCGAACAAAAAATAGCTCACAAACAAAATGTAAATTATATGCTGCCAAGATTTCAAGAGAGATATTCCAAATTACATCAATTTATTCAATGTTTTCAATAAGAGAAGGAAATGAAGAAAATGAGAGATTGGAAATTACACCCCACAGACACACAGACGAAGGTTGATGTAAATATGTAAATCAGTCCTTGAGAAACTTTCAATTATGGAGCTGTGTTATTTTGATTTTTTTAATGAAGTTCAGTTCATTGACCCAAGGAAAAGAAATTGGTGACTGGGTTGCTGTCTGTGCTTAGAGGTCACTATACTTAAATTCTATTTTCTCTTAAATCCCAAATAACTTCAACCAAAATAGGGTAGGGGGAATAAGGCTATTTATAGTTTTAAATGTTATATGTTAAGCTCGAGAATGGACAATCAAAATGAAAGCACATAAATGTTTTTATACCCTCCGTCATTAATTTTGTCATTGCGTTTGTAACTCCTCGAAATACCATTTAAATATTCGAAAACCCAGTTCACAAGCAAAATGTAAATTATGTGCTGCCAAGATTTCAAGATATTCCAAATTACATCAATTTATTCAATGTTTTCAATATGAGAAGGAAATAAGAAAATGAGAGATTGGAAATTACACCCCACAGACACACAGACGAAGGTTAATGTAAATCAATCCTTGTGAAACGGTCAATTACAAAACTCTGTTATTTTGCTTTTTTTAATGAACTTAAGTTCATTGATCCCAGGAAAAAATTTGTGACTGGGTTGTTTATTCCTTTTTACAGCTATCCTGTCACTATACTTAAATTCTATTTCCTCTTAAATTCCAAATGATTTCAAGCGAAATAGGGTAGGGGGAATAAGGCTAATTTATATTTTAAAACTCTATATGTTTAGTTCGGGAATTACAGTATGTTTACATATAAATGGGTTAACCCACTGGATTTGGATTAAAAATATCACATCTATTAATAGTACTTCAAATAAATCCCCTTGAAGTAGGTTAATCCTTCAAAAAGTTCTAACGTAAACATTGCATTATAGTCTTTGGAAATCAAATTCTTAATATTTCAAAAGCACATGAATGTTTTTATAACCTCCACCATACAATGTCATTCCGTTTGTAACTCCTCGAAATACTCATATCTGACCAAATGAAATTCTAAGTAGATATAGCGAGTCCGTCTGTCTGTCTGTCTGAGGATTTTTAAAGAAACATTTTTATGCACCAACATTCCCAGATTTTTTTTTAAAAGATTTTGCAACCTTAGTTCAATACTCTTGTTTTTTAAGAGGGGTTTTTAAGGATCTTATAAAAGTAATTGTGCATCTTTTTAGTGATATTTAGACAATTTTTTAAAGATTTTCAAGGACCATAGGTCTAACCATATTGGATTTTTCGGAGTACTTTTTCCAAGGACCTTTAATTTTTTTTTTTGTTTTTAATGAATTTTGCTTGGAACCCTTATGTCATTAAGGACCGCTATATATTTTTAATCATTTTTAAAGGGAATTGTTGTTTTTTTTTAATTGTTATGATCTATAAATGGACCAATCGACCTCAGACCAATATTCTCGCTTTTTTAAGAGGATTTTTTAAGGACCTTAGAACAGTAATTGTAATTTTTTAATAAAAATTCTTTTTAGGGATGCTTAGAAAAAAAAAGATATTGGATTTTTTCTAGAGAACTTTCTCCAAGGACCTTTAGAACTTTAACCGGAATTTTTAAGGATTTTTTAATGTATCTTTTAACTATTTATTTTGGATTTTTTAAAATAAATTTTCTTAGGGGCTTTTTATAAAAAAAAAAAAAAATTAAAGGAAATGTTATGATTTTTTCAAAAATTGTTATGATATTTTCATGGACCGATCTAGATTTTTTAAAGATAACATTTTTATGCACCATAATTTCCGAATTTTTCAAAAGAGTTTCAATGACCTCAGATCAATACTCTCGCTTTAAAGAGGATTTTTAAGGACCTTAGGTCTGTTATTGTAAATTTTTAGTTTGGCTAATATTTTATTTAAACATATTTTTAAGGACTAAGGGTCCAAACGATTGTTCCCAAGGAACTTTAAATCTTTAACCGAAAAATTCTTTAATGGATATTTGAATCATTAATGTTGGATTCTTTAAATAACAATTTTTAAGACTATTATTTTTTTAAAGGCCTCTCTTTTTCTTAATTTTTTTTAAGTGAATTTTTACGATTTTTTCAGAAATTGTTATGATCTTTCCATGTACCGATCTGGAATTTTAAAATAACATTTTTATACCAACATTTCAAGATTTTTTTTTTTGAAGAAATGGGCCATGTAGGTACACCTCTTCGTATAGCCCTCATATAAGTGTACCTCTCAAGATTCAGTATTTTGATGTTTTTAGCGACATTTTTACCGGAATTTTTTTCAAATTTTGTATTCGAAGTTCGTAATAGCTACTACAGTCTATGACAAAGAAGCAGCTCCACTTCTTCCTATAGCTCCCACATAACGGTATCTCCCAATATTCGGAATTTTGACGACATTTTTTTACCAGAAATGTTTAAAATTTTTTATTCCAACTTCATAAGGGGTACTACAGCTTATGACAAAAAATTACTTATGAAAGAACACGTCTTCGTATAGTCCCCCATATATGGGTTATTATTTGAGAGGTATTTTTCTACTGATTTTTTTTTTTGAAAAATTTCAAGTTTTTTCAAAATGGTGAAGTGGATTAAAAGTTCAGCTTGGTCGAACTAGTCCACGATTTCTTACTATGAAGTATTTGAAAAAATCATGAAAAATCAAATCAGGGAAGACTTACAGGTACTGCAACGAAAGCATATGAGTATGCTGACGCAAGGGAAGGAATTTCGTCTCCTCATGTAAATGGTCTACTGGAGTCATGATTAAGTGGCGGATATTTTCATATTCCTCGACGTGGAAGTAGACGGCAAGCTCCATGAGAAAAGTGTTCAACCTACCCATGTTCGTGGACACCTTAGATGTGAATTCATGTGAAGTGGATTCTATAAGAAATTTTATTTCACAAAACTTTGGTAACTTAGAATTGGATTTTTTAAGTTTGTCCTGGACATCTTAAGTGAGGATTGTGTTAGAATTTTTATTTCAAAGACCTTTGTCCCCTTAAACGTGGCATTTAATAGAATTTATATTTCAAGGACCTTTGTCACAATAGACAGTGGATTTTTTAGAGGAGATTTTTTTTCAAGGACCGGCAGGTATTTTTTGAGGAAAATTTCTCAAGGACTTTTTGAGAATTTTTTTCGAGGGCCTACTCCTATTTTTTAAGAACCGCTCAATATTAAAAAAAATATGTTTTTTTTCAAAAATTGTTATGATCTTTTCATGGACCGATCTGGATTTTTTAAAGATATCATTTTCATGCACAAACATTTCCAGATTTTTTAAAAATATTTTTTTTAAGGCTTTGAGATTAATGCTCTTCTTTTTTATTCCAAGGACCTTTGTCACCTTAAACGTGGAAATTAAATGAATTGCTATTCCAAGGAACTTGGTCACATTAAAATTTAGAATTTTTAATTGAGATTTTTTCAAAGACCAGTTGTAAATTTGTTTAAAGGAGATTTTTCTCAAGATCCATTCGAGAATTTTTCAAAATGAATTTTTCCAAGGACCTATCCGTATTTTTCTAAGGACAGCTCCATTTTTTTACAATTTTTTTTGAAGACATTTTTTATGATTTTTTTTAACAATTTCAATGATTTTTTCTTGGATCGATCTGGATTTTGAAATAAAAAATTTTTATGCACCGAAATTTTGAGATTTTTTTAAAGATATTTCAAAGCCCTCAGACCAAAAAAAAAAGGATTTTTAAGGACCTTAGAACAGTAATTGTTTAAATTTTTTTTAAGAAAATTTAGAATATTTTTTTAAGATATTTTCAAGGACCCTAAGTCTATGGATATGGTTTTATTTATGGATCTTTAAATTATTAACTAAAATCCAAGATTTTTAAAATAATTTTTGTTGGAGACCGTTATTTTTATTATAAAAAAATAAAGGAAATTTTATGATTTTTTTTTTTTCAAAAATTGTCATGATTTTTTCATGGTCCGATCTGGATTTTTTTATGCTTATGCACCAACTTTTCCAATTTTTTTAAGATTTTTCCAGATCTATATGCTTGCATTTAAGAGAATCCTTTTAAGACCTTAAATTTTTAAAGATAAATCTGTTTAGAACTCTTGGGTATTCCATTTCCATTTTTCCAATTTCTTTTCCATTTTGTAACAAAATATCCCATTTCAAATCTTCCAAAAATGTTCCTTAATTAATTTTGTTAACCGAATATTCCGAATACACATTCCTTAATAAGCAGCCAGTCCTTGCTTCACTCTCAAATTCAATTTGAATCAACTCGAAACTAAAACTGGAATAAACTCTTGATTTTTTTTTTCAATAAAAAAATCATAGGTCTTGGAAATAGACTACTTGGCGGCTCTATTTATAACTCAAAATGTTTTGTTGTTTCAAATAGTAATTGTCCTCCAGATGAAAGGATGACAGCTTCGCATATGGATACACACACACATGTAAACGATATGAAAAGAAAAGTGGGTTAATGTATCAACTCAGTTGATGATAAAAATAAAAAATAATAAATACAAAAATGAAACGAAATGCTAGGTTGTTAAGTACCTATGGAGACCAGGCCGACCAGACATGATGTGGCGTGGCAGACAACAAAGCCGACTGTGGGAGAGCCAATGGCTGGCTAATCAATAAAACAGCTTCCAACATGATCTCGCTTGTGTAATGAAGATGTCAAGCCTCCACAATGCCAACGCAAAAAAAAAATGAAACAAAAATTGTTTTAGTATGCCACAAAGGTTTTCCATCTTTGCCTTTGTTGTTAATTTGTTCCGCTGCTACCGCCTAAAAGGAAACAACTAATTAAGAAGATTCCATAAATAATACACAATGCATTATACTTGCCCTGCTACTCTGCCATACATCATCCATCCACACTTCATCATCACCATCATCATCGATTTCAATTGAGTCCACACTCCAATGTATGCTGTTCCAGGGTGGCGCGCAAACGACTTTGATCGCTGTGCGAACGCTTCAAACCGGTACGCCAACGTTTCAGGCAGCCCAAAATGTACGAATGTTTGGTGCGACTCAAGACATACACATACGGGTCGGATGTGAAATGTAATGCCATCAGCATGTCAGCAATCAAGAAGAAAGGATGTGCTTTCGGCACTCGATTCGGTACAATGGCCATGGGAATGGCAATCTGGAAGAAGCAATGGAATGAAATGAAATGGAGAAAGGCATTATTTGCGGAGAAAAAAATGTTGGAAATGTTCAGATAAGATTTCAATATCCAATTAATTAAAAATTTGCTCTTTTGTTGGAATCATTAACATATATTTTCACTGGACATTAGGGTGGGTAGAGGGGTGTTAAAAAAAAAAATAACAGGAAAAAATTTGGAGATCTATTTTTTACAGGAGGTTTTCAAATGGTCTTCCAGTTGTTAAATACCATTTAAAGCTCTTCAGGCTACAGAAGAGTTTTAAAAGCTCTTCTAGTGATGGGAGAGCTTCAAAGCTCTTCCAGATATAAATGAAGTATTCGACGCTTAAGAGAGCTGTAAAATTCAATTCCGAGATAGAATAGCTTTAGAAGCTCAAACAATTTTCTGGATGTAGAGGAGCTTTAAAAGCATCAGAAAGTCTTTTAGTCACAGAAGAGCCTCCAATGGGTCTTATAACCATCGAATAGCTTTCTTAGTGAAGAAAATCCTTAGAACTTTAAAAGCTCTTACGGATATAAAATAGCTTTTAATGCTCTATTGGATATAGGAAAGCTTTAAAGGCTCCAAAAGGCTTTAGAAGATTTTCTATGGATCGAAGAGCTTTGGAATGTCTTATATCTGAAGGTTTTAAGTCACAGAAAAGCGTCGGAATGACTTCAAGCCGTATCAGAGCTTTAGAAGGTCTTCCAGGTAAAAAGAGCTTTAGAAGGTGAAAAATAAAAACTGTTCTATAGCTAGAAGACGTTCTGAAGCCCTTTTATAGTTAGAAGAGCTTCTGAAGCTCTTATGGTCACAAAAGAGCTTTAAAAGGCCTTCCAGTCTCAGAAGAGCTTCAAAAGGTCTTCTAGGCATAGAAGAGCTTCAGAAGGTCTTCTAGCCATAGATGAGCTTCAGAAGGTCTTCTAGCCATAGAAGGGCTTCAGTAGGTCTTCTAGCCATAGATGAGCTTCAGAAGGTTTTCTAGCCATAGAAGAGCTTCAGTAGGTCTTCTAGCCATAGAAGAGCTTCAGAAGGTCTTCTAGCCATAGAAGAGCTTCAGAAGGTCTTCAAGCCATAGAAGAGCTTAAGAACGTCTTCTGCTCGTAGAAGCGCTTTAGAAGGTCTTCTAGCCATAGAAGAGCTTCAGAAGGTCTTCTAGTCATAGAAGAGCTTCAGAAGGTCTTCTAGTCATAGAAGAGCTTCAGAAGGTCTTCTAGTCATAGAAGAGCTTCAGAAGGCCTTCCAGTCACAGAAGAGCTCCGGAAGGTCTTCTAGCCATAGAAGAGCTTCAGGAGGTCTTCTAGCCATAGAAGAGCTTCAGGGGGTCTTCTAGCCATAGAAGAGCTTCAGAAGGTCTTCTAGGCATAGAAGAGCTTCAGAAGGTCTTCTGGTCATAGAAGGGCTTCAGAAGGTCTTCTGGCCATAGAAGAGCTTCAGAAGGTCTTCTGGCCATAGAAGGGCTTCAGAAGGTCTTCTGGCCATAGAAGAGCTTCAGAAGGTCTTCTAGTCATAGAAGAGCTGTGGAAGGTCTCCTAGCCATAGAAGAGCTTCAGAAGGAAGGTCTTCTAGCCATAGAAGAGCTTAAGAGGGTCTTCTAGCCATGGAAGAGCTTCAGAAGGTCTTCTAGTCATAGAAGAGCTTTAGAAGGTCTTCTAGTCATAGAAGAGCTTTAGAAGGCCTTCTGTTCATAGAAGAACTTTAGAAGGTCTTCTGTTCATAGAAGAACTTTACAAGGCCTTCTATCTACAGAAGAGCTTCAGAATGTCCTCTAGCCACAGAAGAGCTTAAGAAGGTCTTCTAGACACAGAAGAGCTTCAGAAGGTCTTCTAGCCATAGAAGAGCTTCAGAAGGTCTTCTGGTCATAGAAGAGCTGTAGAAAGTCTTCTGGTCATAGAAGAGCTTCAGAAGGTCTTCTGGCCATAGAAGAGCTTCAGAAGGTCTTCTGGCCATAGAAGAGCTTCAGAAGGTCTTCTGGCCATAGAAAGGCTTCAGAAGGTCTTCTGGCCATAGAAGAGCTTCAGAAGGTCTTCTAGTCATAGAAGGGCTTCAGAAGGTCTTCTGGCCATAGAAGAGCTTCAGAAGGTCTTCTGGCCATAGAAGGGCTTCAGAAGGTCTTCTGGCCATAGAAGAGCTTCAGAAGGTCTTCTAGTCATAGAAGAGCTGTGGAAGGTCTCCTAGCCATAGAAGAGCTTCAGAAGGAAGGTCTTCTAGCCATAGAAGAGCTTAAGAGGGTCTTCTAGCCATGGAAGAGCTTCAGAAGGTCTTCTGGTCATAGAAGAGCTGTAGAAGGTCTTGTGTTTATAGAAGAGCTGTGGAAGGTCTTCTGGTAATAGAAGAGCTGTGGAAGGTCTTCTGTTCATAGAAGAGCTTCAGAAGGTCTTCTGACTATAGAAGAGCTTTAGAAGGCCTTCTAGGTAAAGAAGAGCTTCAGAAAGCCTTCTAGGTAAAGAAGAGCTTCAGAAAGCCTTCTAGGTATAGAAGAGCTTCAGAAGGCCTTCTAGGTATAGAAGAGCTTCAGAAAGTCTAGCCATGGAAGAGCTTCAGAAGGTCTTCTAGCCATAGAAGAGCTTCAGAAGGTCTTCTAGCTATAGAAGAGCTTCAGAAGGTCTTCTAGCTATAGAAGAGCTTCAGAAGGTCTTCTAGCCATAGAAGAGCTTCAGAAGGTCTTTTAGCCATAGAAGAGCTTCAGAAGGTCTTTTAGCCATAGAAGAGCTTCAGAAGGTCTTCTAGCCATAGAAGAGCTTTAGAAGGTCTTCTACTCGTAGAAGAGCTTCGTAAGGTCTTCTAGTAATAGAAGAGCTGCACAAAGTCTTCTAGTAATAGAAGAGCTGCAGAAAGTCTTCTAGGCATAGAAGAGCTGTAGAAGGTCTTCTCGGTATAGAACAACTTCAGAAGGCCTACTACGTATAGAAGAGCTTCAGAAGGCCTTCTAGGTATAGAAGAGCTTCAGAAGGCCTTCTAGGTATAGAAGAGCTTCAGAAGGCCTTCTAGGTATAGAAGAGCTTCGGAAGGCCTTCTAGGTATAGAAGAGCTTCAGAAGGTCTTCTAGGTATAGAAGAGCTTCAGAAGGTATTCTAGCCATAGAAAAGCGCCAGAAGCTCTTCTAGCCAAAGAAGTACTTCAGATGGTCTTCCGGCCATAGAAGAGTTATAGAAGGTCTTCTGGTCATAGAAGAGCTTCAAAAGGTCTTCTTATCATAGAAGTGCTTTAGAAGGTCTTCTAGTCATAGAAGAGCTTCAGAAGGTTAAAGAGAATTTCTCCTTTCTTTCAACAAAACCACCTTCCAATCACCCTAATATACAATTTTTTCATTTCCAAATCCTTTGCTCTCTAACATTCACCATCCATCCATTCATCCCACTTACCATCTGTGGCATCCAGCAGATAACGAATGATATGCTCAGGAACAACATCAACTTGGCGAACTTTATTTCATCCGGCGAGGCATGGGCCGACAGTGTTACACTGTTGCTGTGATGATATTGCGGTATGTGTGTCGTACTGCTCTGGCCATGCTGATACAGTGTCGTGCCACTCGAGCTCTCAGCATCGATTTGAGCCACGGAACCCTTTTCGCTGCGATTCACCATGTCATAGGTCATGTGACGCTGGGTGGTGCGTGTGCGGCCAATGAAGCATAGAACGCGCATAACAAATAAATTACAAGCGACTATGACCACACAGAGCAGGGTGCCTGCAAAAGGTTGGAGAGAAGGGAGAGAGGGTGAGAAACTTAAGAAAATTGAAAACATAAAAATAGAAGACAAATGTTTCGGAAGTTTTGGGCAAAACAACGATGAAGAAGACGAAGAAGTCGACGTCAATTGCGTTAGCCACTAAAAACATTAAATGCTGATAAATGATGTTTGCTGTTTGTCATCAATTAAAGGATATTTTTCGTAGGGCTTCTCTCAGAGAGAGATAGAGAGGGAAAGGGGGAGGTCGTAGATGGCCTGATGTTGGCGGCCTATGTAAACTGTCAATATTGAGTGTTTTGTTGAGGTATTAAATTGCCATTCCCAGGCCTTTGATGATAAATTATGAAGACCATAATCAATGGAATATTTTTGTGGTATTTTTTCAAGCAGCAGCTACCGATGGAATATTTTCGGCTTATAAAGGAGTTTTTTTTTCGATTATCAGCAATCATTATTTTAGGGTTTAATTGACAATATGGAAATTGCTTTTGATTGAAGTAAGCGATAGAGGGAATTTTTAAAATTACCTTTGGTTTTTAAACAATAAAAAACAATGAAGGAGCTTTCATTTACAAAGGACCAACAAGGTCACAGTACGGGTTTTTTAAGTTTTTTTTTTCAAAGGACCAAACGTAGATTTTTAGGAGTATTTTTGAACTACCAAAAGTGGTATTTTAAGAACATTTTTATACCCTCAGCCATATGCCTAGAGAGGTTATATATCATTTGCTACGGTCATGCCTCATGGAAATATAGTTTTAGACCCTAGGTCTCTTTGGACCAAATCCGTTTCAGGACATTTGGGGTTGATCTAGCGATGTACATCCGTCCGTCCGTATGTCTGTCTGGCTGGGGCGCACGAGAACTCTCAAAGGGAGTATTTGATTTGGTCTAAACTTGATACACCGTAATATTATTATCAAACTTAGATCGACTTCGAAGATGGGCAATGTCGGACCACTCCTTCGGCTACCTCCCTCACAAAAGGTCGAACTTTTCAAAGAAAATATTTTACTGCACAGACGGAGAAAGGATAATCCGATTTTGCTAAAACTTTGCAAATCCTAATATTTTTATCAATGCAAAATGGACAATATCGGACCACTCCATCCAGTACCTCCCATACAAAGGGTCAATATTTTGAATAATTATAGCTGTTATAAAATGTGATGTAAGAGTCCGATTGTCTTCATATTTCACACATCCCAATATTTATATTAACCCAAGGTCTGGTGTTAAGATGGGCAAAATCGGTCCACTCTTTCTGCTACCTCCCCCACAAAAGGTCGAACTTTTCAAAGAAACTATTTTATTGCACATAAAGAGAAAGGATAACCCAATTTTGCTCCAACTTTGCAAATCCTAATATTTGCATCAGTGCTAGGTCAGGTGCGAAAATGGACAATATCGGTCCACTCCATCAAGTACCTCCCCCACAAATGGTGAAAATTTTAATTAATTATAACTCGTATGAAATGGGAAATAAGAGTCCGTTTGTCTTCAAATTACATACACCACAATATTTTTATTAACCCAAGGTCTGGTGTGAAGATGGGATACATCGGTCCACTCCTTCTGGTACCTCCCCCACAAAGGGTCAAAATTTTAAATATCCATGAAGCTCATAAAACGCGAAATTAACATCCGATTGCATTCAGACTTGACACATCTCAATATTTCCATCAACACAAGATGTGTTATTAAGATGGTAGAGATCGGACCACTCCTTCTGGTACATCCCCCACAAAGGGTCAAAATTCTGAATAACCAAAACGATTATAAAATCCGAAATAAGCACCCGATTCTCTTCATATTTCACACATACCATTATTTTTACTAACACAAGATCTGCTGTGAATATGGGATATATCGATGCATTCCTTCTGGTACCTCCCCCACAAAGGGTCAGAATTTTGAATATCCTTGAACCTCATAACACGCGAAATTAACATCCGATTCCATTCAGACTTGGCACAACTCAATATTTCTATCTACACAAGATCTATTTAAAATATGGTAGAGATCGGACCATTCCTTCTGGTACCTCCCCCACAATGGGTGAAAATTTTGAATATCCGTGAACCTCATAAAACACGAAATTAGCATCCGATTCCATTCAGACTTGGTGCATCTCAATACTTCCATCAACACAAAATCTATTTAAAATATAGTAGAGATCGGACCATTCCTTCTGGCACCTCCTCCACAAAGGGTCAATATTTTGAATAAACGTAATCCGTCTATCCGTCTGTTGGTCTATGGAAATTACACTAGCTTCCGAACGCATTGAAGTAGATTGATAAAATTTTACTCAAATGTATATAATGTCTGCAGGACCTTTGGTATTGAAAATGGGCCGTGTAGATCCACGTCTTCGTATAGCCCCCATATAATGGTACCTCCCGATATTCGGTATTTTGATGATTTTAGCGACATTATTCACCGGAATTGTTTCAAATTTGGTATTTGAAGTTCTTAGTAGATACTACAACCTAAGACAGAAAATTGTTTGTACATGTCCATGACTTCGTATAGCCCCCATATAACGGTACCTCCCGATATTCGGTATTTTGATGATTTTTGCGACATTATTCACCGGAATTGTTTCAAATTTGGTATTTGAAGTTCGAAATGGATACTACAGCCTGAGACAGAAAATTGTCTGTACAGGTCCACGTCTTCGTATAGCCCCCATATAAAGGTACCTCCCGATATTCGGTATTTTGATGATATTAGCGACATTATTCACCGATTTTTTTTCAAGTTTCGCATTTGAATATTGTAATGGCTTATGACAAAAGTTACCTATACAGGTCCATGTGCTCGTATAGACCCTAATATAACAGCTACATTTGGTATTTTTAAGATTTTAACAGAGCTTTTAACGGATTTTATTGTTTTTGAAATTTGTCAAAATCGTTCCAAATGGTGGAGGGTATTCAAAATTCGGCCCGGCTGAACTTACAGCTTTTTTACTTGTTAGTTTAGTAGTTGCAGATGCTTTTTTTCAGAAATACTACAGATAATTCTTTCATTTCAGCCAAGAAAATAAACGAATTGCCTTTGGGGCGTATGAATTACGTCAATACTCATACGCCATTAAATTTAATGTTTTCAAATAAAATACTTCAATTTCTATTTTTACTCACCAAATAACATAAACAGCACCGAATACGTTTTATTCCAAAAACCCTCAGCATCACGATAACGCAGGCATTTAATTTTCGCCGGATTACTGTCATCCATGTAGGCGCCAAAGCCGAAGAAGGGTAAAAAGGTGATGACCACAGCAATAAGGATCAGAGATTTTATAGTTTTGCGCACCAATTCATAGGTTATGTGCTAAAACGAGAAGACGAATGTGAATTGAATTTATGATTGTTATGGCTGGCTTTATTAGATTGGGGATAATAAAATCTCACGCCACTTCCTTACCAACTTCCCCACCCCCAAAAAAATAAATCCCTTAAATCTTCTTCACAAAACATCTCCGATGGATGGATGGATATGAATATACCTACCTTGTGATAAATAAATGGCCTGGCCAACGCCATCCAACGTTCAATGGCCATGACGGCTGCTATGCAACCGGAACTTAGGCCGAAAAATCGACACACCACCTTGCCCACACAATCCCATTTGTTGTATTGCTCAAAGACTTCCGGCGGCAGATAGAATTTCAGCAGCAAAGTGGTCAGCATGCCCACCAGGCCAATGAAGTTGTTGGTCGATAAGCACCTGGAAAAAGAAAGGGGGAAGAAGGGGCAAAATACAATTAGTGTTGTTTGTCCCATTAGTAAATATTATTATGCTTAGCCATAATAAGCATGGCATTGATGTGTTATCCGTTCTTTGAGAATAAAATCCATTGACGAAAATTTAATGGGAATTTGTTGCTGGATTTTATGTTTCGCCGCTAACACGTGTTAATAAGGCTTTTATTTTCTTTATAGATTTTTTTCTTCGAAGGACTTGCAGGACATCAAAAATATTTTTTCCAAGGATCCACAAGTTGTGGATATTTCAATGATATTTGTTTATGAAGCCAGAAATTGAGCAAAAACTATTTTTAAGGGGTACAGAAATCTTGAATTTAAAAAATATTTTTTAAGAAGCCAAGGACTTTCAGAGCTGCCAAAAATAGATTTTTTTATAATTTTTTAAAAATATTTTTCCAACAACCTCAAGGATCAAGCGTAGATTTTTTAAAATTTTGTTTTTCAAGGACCAAATTTGGATTTTTAACAAACATTGTTTTCAAGGACTAAACGTGAATTTGTTTCCATGGACCATAAGGACCACACGTGGATTTTTTCAAATATTTTCTCAAGCACCTTCAAAGCCATCAAACGTGAATTTTTTAAAAATATTATCTCAAGGACCTTCGGATTGACCAACGTGGTTTCTTAAAAAATATTTTTCGAAGGACCCTCAGAGCAATGAACGTGGATTTTTTAAAGAATATTTTTTCAAGGACCAAAGGACAAATAAACGTGGACATTTAAGGATTATATTTTCAAGGACCTTCAGAACCATCAAACGTGGATTTTTTAAATAATATTTTTTTCAAGGACCAAAGGACAAATGAACGTGGATATTTAAAGAATATAATTTCAAGTACCTTTAGAGCCATCAAACGTGAATTTTTTAAAGAATATATTTTCAAGGAGCTTCAGATCAATAAACGTGAATTTTTTAAAGAATATTTTTTCAGGGACCAAATGAAAAATAAACATGGATATTTTAAGAAGGAACTTCAGAGCCACCAAACGTTGACTTTTGAAATATATTTTCCAAGGACCTCAGGTATCAAACGAGGATTTTTTAAAAATATTTTTTCAAAGACCTTCATAGCCACCAAACGTGGATTTTTGAAATATATTTTTTCAAGGACCTTAGGTATCAAATGTGGATTTTTAAAAGTAGGTTTCCAAAGACCTCAATTATCAAATGTGAATTTTTTAAAAATATTTTTTCAAGGACCGTTTGATGGTTTTCAAACGTGGATTTTTTTATAATATTTTTTTAAGGACCTTTAGGACTACTAAACGTGAATTGTTTTATAATATTTTTTGAAGGACCTTTAGGACAACTAAATTTGGATTTTTATAATATTTTTATCAAGGACCTTTAGGACAACTAAATGTAGATTTTTTTATAATATTTTTTCAAGGACCTTTAAGACTATTAAACGTGGATTATTTTTTTAAGGGCCTTTAGGACAACTAAACTTTGATTTCAAGGACCTTTAGGACAACTAAACGTGGAGTTCAAGGACCTCCAGGATTACTAAATGTGGATTTTTTAAAATTATTTTTTTTCAAGGACCTCCGAGACTACTAAATGTGGATTTTTTAAAAATATTTTTTTTCAAGGATCTTGGACTACTAAACGTGGATTTCAAGGACCTTCAGGACTACTTAATGTGGATTTTTTAAAAATATTTTTTCAAGCACCTTTAGGATTACTGAACGTGGATTTCAAGGACTACAAAATGTGGGATTTTTTAAAATATTTTTTTTAAGGATCCTAAGGACTACTAAACGTGGATATCAAGGACATTCAGGTCTACAAAATGTTGATTTTTTAAAAATTGTTTTTCTAGGACCTTCAGGACTTTGATTTTTTAAAAATATTTCTTAAGGTCCTTCAGGATTTCAAGCACCTTAAGGACTACTAAACGTGAATTTTTAAAGCACCTTCAGGACTACTAAATGTGATTTATTTTAAAATATTCTTCAAGGACCTTCAGGACTACAAGGATCTTCAAGGCTACTAAACGTTGATTTTAAAAAAAATATTTTTTAAATGATCTTAAGTGGATTTTAATGTGTAGTTCTTTTTAGAACCTTCAGTGCCACCAAACCTGAATTAAAAATATTTTTCAAGGATCAAAAGTATATTTTTAAAAAAATATTTTATACAAGGACCAAACGTGGGTCAAAAAAAAAAAACAATTGTGGATTTTTAAAAAATATTTTTTCAAGAAAATTAAGGATCAATATTGGATTTTTAAAAAAATATTTTCTCAAGGATCTTAAATAACCGGACATCAAACCGTTTGGATTATTTTGGAAAGCAATTTTGGCACTAAAAAATACCAAAGTGTCGAATTTTTTAAAAAAAATATTTATATATAGGACCAAAAGAAGTTTTTTAAAAAAATATTTATTTCAAGGATCGAACGTGAAATTTTTAAAAAATATTTATTTCAACAACCAAACGTGCAGTTTTTTAAAAAAATATATTTTTTCAAGTACAGAAAGGATCAAACAAAAAATATTTATTTCCCAAGGATCAAACGTGGATTTTTTTAAAAAATATTTTTTCCCCGGGTCAAACATGGATTGAAAAAAAAATATTTTTTCCCAAGGATCAAATGTGGATTTTTTTTAAAAAATATTTTTTCCCCAGGTCAAACATGGATTAAAAAAAATATTTTTCCCAAGGATCAAATGTGGATTTTTTAAAAAATATATTTTTTTCCCAAGGATCAATTGTGGATTTTATAAAAATATATTTTTTCCCAAGGATCAAACTTGGATTTTTTAAAAAATATATATTTTTCCCAAGGATCAAACGTGGATTTAAAATAAAATAGTTTTTCCCAAGGATTAAAAGGGGATTTAAAAAAATATTTTTCCCAACAATCAAACGTGGATTTATTAAAAAATACATTTTTTCCCAAGGATCGAACGTGGATTTAAAAAAAAATATATTTTTTCCCAAGGATTAAACGTGGATTTAAAAAAATTGTTTTTCCCAAGGATCAAACGTGGATTTTTTAAAAAAATATTTTTCCCAAGGATCAAACGTGGATTTTTTAAAAAAAATATTTTTCCTAAGGATCAAACGTGGATTTTTTAAAAAAATATTTTTCCCAAGGATCAAACGTGGATTTTTTAAAAAAATATTTTTCCCAAGGATCAAACGTGGATTTTTTAAAAAAAATATTTTCCCCAAGGATCAAATGTGGATTTTTTAAAAAAATATTTTTCCCAAGGATCAAACGCGGATTTTTTAAAAAATATTTTTTCCAAGGATCAAACGTGGATTTTTTAAAAAAATATTTTTCCCAAGGATCAAACTTGGATTTTTTAAAAAAATATTTTTTCCAAGGATCAAACGTGGATTTTTTAAAAAATATTTTTCCGAAGGATCAAACGTGGATTTTTTAAAAAATATATTTTTACCCAAGGATCAAACGTGGATTTTTTAAAAAAATATTTTTCCCAAGGATCGAACGTGGATTTAAAAAAAAATATTTTTTCCCAAGGATTAAACGTGGATTTTTTAAAAAAATATTTTTCCCAAGGATCAAACGTGGATTTTTTAAAAAATATATTTTTACCCAAGGATCAAACGTGGATTTAAAAGAAATATATGTTTTTTTCCCAAGGATCAAACGTGGATTTAAAAGAAATATATGTTTTTTCCCAAGGATCAAACGTGGATTTTTTAAAAAATATTTTTTTCCCAAGGATCAAACGTGGATTTTTTAAAAAATATATTTTTACCCAAGGATCAAACGTGGATTATTTAAAAAAATATTTTTCCCAAGGATCAAACGTGGATTTTTTAAAAAAATATTTTCCCCAAGGATCAAATGTGGATTTTTTAAAAAAATATTTTTCCCAAGGATCAAACGTGGATTTTTTAAAAAAATATTTTTCCCAAGGATCAAACGTGGATTTAACAAAAAAATTATGATATTTTTTCCCAAGGATCAAACGTGGATTTAACAAAAAAATTATGATATTTTTTCCCAAGGATCAAACGTGGATTCTAAAAAAAAATATTTTTTCCCAAGGATTAAACGTGGATTTTTTAAAAAAATATTTTTCCCAAGGATCAAACGTGGATTTTTTAAAAAATATATTTTTACCCAAGGATCAAACGTGGATTTAAAAGAAATATATGTTTTTTCCCAAGGATCAAACGTGGATTTAAAAGAAATATATGTTTTTTCCCAAGGATCAAACGTGGATTTTTTAAAAAATATTTTTTTCCCAAGGATCAAACGTGGATTTTTTAAAAAATATATTTTTACCCAAGGATCAAACGTGGATTTTTTAAAAAATATATTTTTACCCAAGGATCAAACGTGGATTTTTTAAAAAAATATTTTCCCCAAGGATCAAATGTGGATTTTTTAAAAAATATTTTTTCCCAAGGATCAAACGTGGATTTTTTAAAAAATATATTTTTACCCAAGGATCAAACGTGGATTTAAAAGAAATATATGTTTTTTCCCAAGGATCAAACGTGGATTTTTTAAAAAATATTTTTTTCCCAAGGATCAAACGTGGATTTTACAAAAAATATTTTTTCCCAAGGATCAAACGTGGATTTAAAAAAAAAATATGATATTTTTTCCCAAGGATCAAACGTGGATTCTAAAAAAAAAATATTTTTTCCCAAGGATCAAACGTAGATTTAAAAAAAAAATTATTTTTTCCTCAAGGATCAAACGTGGATTTTAAAAAAAATATATGTTATTTTTTTCCAAGGATCAAACGTGGATTTTTTAAAAAATATTTTTTCCTCAAGGATCAAACGTGGATTTAAAAAAAATATATGTTATTTTTTCCCAAGGATCAAACGTAGATTTAAAAAAAAAATATTTTTTCCTCAAGAATCAAACGTGGATTAAAAAAAATATATATTTTTTTTTTGGTTCATTGTATTATTATTATCAAACTTAGATTGAGTTCGCAGATGGGCAATAACGATTGACT